CACCACAGTTCAAAAGCATCAGTTCTTCAGTGCTCAGCTTTCTTTATAATCCAACTCTCACATCCATACATGACCACTGGAAAAACCACAGCTTTGACTAGATGGACCTTTGTTGGCAGAGTAATGTCTCTGCTTTTTAATATGCTATCTAGGTTGGTCATAACTGGTTGTTTTTTGTTTTTGTTTCTTTTTGTCATAACTTTTCTTCTAAGAAGCAAGCATCTTTTAATTTCATGGCTGCAGTCACCATCTGCAATGATTTTGGAGTCCCCCAAAATAAAGTCTGTCACTGTTTACACTGTTTCCCCATCTATTTGCCAAGAAGCAATGGGACCAGATGCCATGATCTTAGTTTTCTGAATGTTGAGTTTTAAGCCAACTTTTTCATTTCCTCTTTCACTTTCATCAAGAGCCCTTGATTAGACAAAGAAGAGCAAAGTAAAACCAAGGTTAGCAGAACAAAGGAAATAATGAAACCTAGAGCAAAGATTAATGGAACAGAGGAGCACTTGAGAGAATCAGTAAAACAGTTGTTTCTAGGGTGAAACAGATCCCAGCCCAGGTTGGATGCATGAGACAAGTGCTCGGGCCTGGTGCACTGGGAAGACCCAGAGGGATCGGGTGGAGAGGGAGGTGGGAGGGGGGACCGGGATGGGGAATACATGTAAATCCATGGCTAATTCATTTCAATGTATGACAAAAACCACTGCAATGATGTAAAGTAATTAGCCTCCAACTAATAAAAATAAATGAAAAAAAAAAAACAGTTGTTTCTTTTAAATATTTACAAAACTGGCAAGTATGGGACAATTTTATGGAACAGGTTACTTAAATGAAATGGAAAAATTCTGGAAACACACAAACTACCAAAACTGATACAAGAAGAAATAGAAAGCCTGGTTAGCCTATAATAAGTAAGGAGACTGTAGCAGTAATAAATTCTCAACAAAGCAAAGCCCAGAGCCTGGTGTTTCATCTCAAATATTAGAATGCCAGTTCTTCCTAAACTCTTCAGAAGACAAAGGAGGGGATATTTTAAATTCACTGTGATGATGTAAATGCTGTGATGCTGGCATTAACCCGATTCCAGAGTAGCCACAAGGAAAAACATCTACAGGCCAAAATTCATTATGGACAGAGATGCAAAAATCCTCAGTAAAATCCTGACAAACAACATTGAAAGGACAATACATCATGACCAGCCTTCCCCGACAGCTCAAGCAGTAAAGATTCTCCCTGCATCGCAACAGACACAGAAGACACGGGTTCAGTCCCTGGGTCGGGAAGATCCCCTGGAGAAAGAAATGGCAACCCATTCCAGTATTCTTGCCTGGATAATCGCACAGACCGAGGAGCCTGATATGGGCTACAGTCCATAGGATCGCAAAGGGTCAGACACGACTGAGCATCCAGGCGGTAGATGCTCGAATAACCCCACTGTGCAGACAGGGAGACCGGGGAGCCCTGAGAGGCACGCAGCTTGTCTGGGGTCCCATCACTGGCGACGAGGAGGAGCTGGGTCTGAACCCAGCTGTGTCCCCAGGGCCGAGCCCTGGCTGCACCCAGGCCTCCCTGCTGGTGTCACCGTGCAGGGACACGGCATGAAGTGGGGGTGACCCCTCAGCAGCCATGAGGGCCTTGGGGGGCTAGTGTTTGAGCAGGGACCCCAAGTATAGAGACCCCAGGAAGTGACGTCCCATCCCCGACCGTAGAGCCCAACAGAACTCGGAACCCGGTAACCAGGCACCTCATCCTAGAGAAGCCCCTCCCCAGCTGGCCTGGCCGGAGCCCTCGAAGGGCAGCGTGCCCTCCTGTGCGTCCTGAGGTCCCGAGGCTGCAGCCACAGACACACCTGGTCATTTGCCCGGAGGAACCAAAGGTAACGGGGAGGTCCAGGGCAACCCAGTCCCAGCCCAGCCGCCTCTGGGACCCACGCGGGAGCCCTGTGTCCCCTCCCGGTGTGTGTGTGGGGGGGTTTGTGTCGGGTGGGCCTGCCCCGAGCAGGAGCAGGCTGAGGGGTCAGAGGGCGGGCTACGTTAACCCCCAGGTGAAGGTGGCAGGAGAGGGTGTGGGGACCTGGAGACCCTCCTGGCCCAGGTTTGTCCCCAGTCCTGGGGGTGGATCTCACTTCTTCCCGGGAGAGGTCTGTGTGATCTGGGAGCAGAAGGTCCAGGGGCAGAAAAAGCATCATCCTTGTGCAGGCAGGACTCCGGGTCCTTAGGCCGCCGGCCCGAGGAGGTGGTGGACCAGGGCACCCCCTCCGTCCCCGAGTGAGGGGCGTCCATGCGGGCAGCACAGGCTGGGGGCGGGGCGCGCCGGGGCATGAAAGGGTCTCAAGGAGGGCTGAGGTGGCTGGGAACACCCACCTGCACCTGCTCCTGCAGGGGACCCGGGACGCACATTCCTGCAAACCACCCTCAGCACCGGATCCCGGCCCGGGACCCTTCCACCTGCTCCCCCACCCAGAACTTGCCTTCCCCTCCCCTGATATTTCTGTTTCTACTTTTTACTTAGTTGAGGCCTTAACGTCACAGCATTTAATTCTTTACACTTTACGTCGCGCACTTCCTGAGCATGGCGTACACGCACGATGCTGAGCGACCTTCCCCGCAGACTCAGGACCGTTTCACTCCCAGAGGAAACCCGGACCCAAGGGCTTGCTCCCTGGCTGCACTCACCTTCCGAGATGGACCACACTATGGAGTGTGTACCTCCCTCAGTGAATCTGTTTCTGACCTAAAGGAGCAAAAGGCGCTCACTCCCTGTCTTCCCTCCCCCAGCCCAGAGTCTGCTTTCTGCCTCTCGTCTCTACCTGTTCTGAATGTTTCCTATAAACGGAATCAAGTTATAGGCATCTCTTTTAGGTAACCCACATATTTTAAGTGGGGAGTGGTTAATTTTTTTTTAATTTGAAGTAGCATTCTTGTTAAATGAAAGGGGGTGAATTAGAGATAAGATGTAAAAGTTGAGGTCTTTTTTTGTAAATACATGTACATTCTCAGGGTGGAGACCCCTGCTCTAAACGTGGCCCCAGACCTGGAAGACAGAGGGAAGCTCCTGGCTCCTCCTGCGGCCAAACAGACAGACATGCAGAGAGCTGGGAGGACAGACCGCAAGCTGGGACAGCGTCCCTCGCGTCCCTGTGGTCCCCAGATGGTGAAAGTCAACGTTCTAGAAAGGGACAGATGGCAAGCGTGCCCGTCTAACGAGGCGACGCACGTGGCTGTGTGTGTCAGGGGCGCTCGGCCTCCCGATGACATGGACAGAAGCCTGGAGACGCTGTGCCGCCCTGCCCTGGCAGGTGTCCAGTCTGCTGATGACCAGCCCTGGGGACAGCGTGAGGAAGCACGGCCAGCAGCCCCCGGAGGGAGGCGCGGAAGGACACTCCCCTCGGGGAGAGCCGTGTGTGGGACCCCAGAGCTCCAAGGCGCATCTTTTACCGGCAGAGTGACTCCTAGGAGCTCGCCCACAGGGATCCTCACGTGATGTGTGTACCCACGTGCACGTGTGTGCCTGTGCGCTTGGGGCTGTTGGGGGGGAGGATGCCAAGGGCGTGTGCCTGCAGAGCGACTCCTAGGAGCTCGCCCACAGGGATCCTCGCGTGATGTGTGTGCCCACGTGCACGTGTGTGCCTGTGCGCTTGGGGCTGTTGGGGGGGAGGATGCCAAGGGCGTGTGCCTGCAGAGCGACTCCTAGGAGCTCGCCCACAGGGATCCTCGCGTGATGTGTGTGCACACGTGCACGTGTGTGCCTGTGCGCTTGGGGCTGTTGGGGGGGAGGATGCCAAGGGTGTGTGCCTGCAGAGCGACTCCTAGGAGCTCGCCCACAGGGATCCTCGCGTGATGTGTGTGCACACGTGCACGTGTGTGCCTGTGCGCTTGGGGCTGTTTCGGGGGAGGATGCCAAGGGCGTGTGCCTGCAGAGCGACTCCTAGGAGCTCGCCCACAGGGATCCTCGCGTGATGTGTGTGCCCACGTGCACGTGTGTGCCTGTGCGCTTGGGGCTGTTGGGGAGGATGCCAAGGGCGTGTGCCTGCAGAGCGACTCCTAGGAGCTCGCCCACAGGGATCCTCGCGTGATGTGTGTGCCCACGGGCACGTGTGTGCCTGTGCGCTTGGGGCTGTTGGGGGGGACCCCAGGGGCGTGTGCCTGCAGAGCGACTCCTAGGAGCTCACCCACAGGGATCCTCGCGTGATGTGTGTGCCCACGGGCACGTGTGTGCCTGTGCGCTTGGGGCTGTTGGGGGGGGACCCCAGGGGCGTGCACTCTTCTGAAACGCGGCTCCCCCAGCTGGACTCTGACCAGTCCTTTTTCTCCTCCATGTTTTCTGGGGTCCCAAATCAGAATTTCTGAAGAGCCCCTACTATGGGACATGGGCCATTTGCCATTTTTCATTCTCAGAATTGTGCTGAAGGGAACATCTGTGCCCATAAATCACTACTTAAGGAAGAATCCGTGAGGTGGATCCAAACATACAGTTTTTACAATACTGGCTGCAGTTTCCAACATTGGCGGTCTCTGCCCACTTTGAGCCTTGCTTGGGAAAGCGGGGCCTCAGAGACCCCGAGGGCTGAGACCTCAGGAAGGAGGAGGAGGAGCTGGGAGAGGAGGTGATGAAGGGACCTGCAGGTGACCTGCCCGGAAGGGACCGTCTCGCCCCTCGGCCCGGAACCTGGCCCCGCCCAGTGCTAGAGCTGATCTGAAGCTGGGACCGAGTTGGCTCGGGGTCAAAGGGGCTCTGCTCCTAGAACTGGCGGCAGACCTGATGCAAGAGCCGGTGTCGGACTCCGCTCCCGCCCCAGGGGAGGCGGCAGCCGGGTCTCCTCCCGAGACCGGAGGAGACCTGGCCCTGCAGCTGGTGCCGCAGCCACTGCAGTCAGCGGCTCTGCCTCTGGAGCGGCCACTGGGCCGGCGTTGGCTCCTGGGCGGGCGCTGGTGTGGCTCCAGCGGCCCGTCCGGTCCTGGGACTGGTGGTACGCCACCCCGACCCCCGAGCTGACGTCACGGTGCCGAGCCGCCGCGGGTGTGGCCCGGATGCGGGAGCTGTCCCTGGTGCTGGAGTGGGGCTGGCGCGGGGCTGTCCCTGGCCCTGACGCCCGTCCGGGCTTGGGGCTGATTTCTGTGCCTCTGGCTGCATCGCCAGTCCTGCCTCTCGCTCCGTGACGCACTCAGCCTGGTGGTGGAGCCGGCACTGGGCCCGCCTCTGGAATCGTTGTCAGGGCAGACGCTGGCCCCCCCGGCAGGCGTGGAATCCGGCCCAGGAACCGAGGACAGAGCTGCCTCTGTGCCTGAAATGGCATCATGCTGGGGTGCCTTCTCCCAAGCTGACACTGGCTTCTGGCAGCCAAGCTGGCCACGGCTCTGGAGCTGGCCCTAGAGCCATGATTGGAGTCGGCTCTAGCTCTGAATGAAGCTGGTTCTGGCTCTAGCTCTGAAGCTGATGCTAGAGCGTGTACTGAAGCCACCTCCTCCTGGGAACCTCGCACTAGCTCTGTGAATTGGCTCTGCACTGGTTCTTCAAAATGGGCACTAGAGTGATCACTGAGGCTGGCACAAGAGTTGGTGAGAGAGCTGCCTCTGTCTGGAGTCGGCGTGATGGCTGATGTCCAAGTTGGCTCCAGCTCACTGGGACAGCACCAGCCTGCCCGGGAGCGGCGCTGGGCGGCAGCTGGTACTGGTGTGGGAGCCCGTCTGGCTGTGGAGCAAGCGCTGCCTCGAGCCATGGAGGTGCTAATAGAACTGCCTCTGGGAGTGGGTCGGTGCTGGATCCCGTGCAGGAAGTGACCCTGAGTCTGGAGCTCCGGAGGGGGGCTGGCTCCAGAGGTCACCCGAGCTCTTGGGCTGCTGCTGGGAGTTGGCTGAGCTCTGGTACTGCCCTGGAGCACTCATTCTCTGGGGCTCATCCTCCCGCAGGCTCTGGTGCTGGCTCCGGCTCCAGAGGGAGCTCTACTTGAGAGTTGCCAGGGGTGCTCGCTGTGTTCCCAGAGCCGCGCTGGAGGAGACCCGAGTGCAGTTCTGTTGCCCTGGGATCTGGGTGGGGTCTGATCCAGACTCCAGGGCTGGTGCCCAAGCTGGTTCTGGAGCTTACCGGAGTTCGGGGGCTTTCCCATGAGCTGATGTCGGAACTTGTTCTCACTCCAGAGCTGACTTTGGGTCATGTGATAGAGCTGGCTCCCGTTCTTGGCTGGCACTAGCTCTAAACCTAGAGGTGGCCCTGGGTTCAGCGCTAGCTCTGGAGCCTGCACGACCTCTAGCTGTCGGGTGTGTGCCAGAAAGTCCTCTAGCTCCAAGCCAGGCTCTGGCGCTGGAGTGAAATCAGGCGCTGATGGTGGTGCCAGCTTGTGGGCTGGCAGTCCAGCTGGCCATGGAGCCCCAAGATGACAAAAAGTTCACCAACCTCGAGTCCATAGACTGTCTGTGCGCGTGTGTGCGTGCATCAAGTACACGTCTTTTCTTCCCTTCCTTTATCTTACCAGATAGCATAAAGTAGAACATAAGGTGTACCCACAATAGTTACCTTCACATCCCAGTGCTTAAGTTACCGGGCGTCAAGGAGAGACGAGTAAGCTCCTGCCAGCAGGCTGCGTGCCTTGGGGAGTGGGTCTGTGTGTTTGAGTCGCACCCAGGAGCTGTGTTTGGTGAGGAAGAAGAACGGCTCTCTTACCGTCCTCACTCAGGGACTCAGCAGAGCTGTGGGTTTCAGGTCAAGAGAGGGCGGGCTGAAGTGGTGGCCTCGCTTCATCGGTCAGCCTGGTGATTCAGGCCACACTAAAACCACAGCAGGCTGGCCCACCCTCAGCTACACAGCAGCCAGGGCAAGTATTAGAGGCCAAGAGGCCTCACCGGTCCTTCAGCCGTCTTGCAGCAAGTGTTTAGTTTCAGGATTCTGATTTGCTTCCAGGGAGGTTCTGTGTTTGGCGAGGGAGAAAGAGGAAGACAGGGAAACAGATGATTTCATGGCTTAAAAGGTGCTGTGAAAGCTTTTCCCAGTAAGTGCAGAAAAACTATTTGACAAAACCCAACACCCTCTCATGAGAAAAGCACTCAAGAAACTAGAAAGAGGGCACTTCCTGAGGACACCCTGCGGCTCACCGCACACTCGGTGGGGAAGACTGGAGCCTCCCCGGGGGCAGGAAAGAGGAACAGGGACCAGTCCCGTCAGCTCACGGCCGCACTTCACCGGAGGTTTTAGCCTCGTCCAGCAGATAAGGAAACAAAATCAAAGGCATCTAAGCTGGCGAGGATGAAGCAAAACTGTCTGTTTGCAAATTTCATGACCACGTAGGTAGGAAATCATAGAGAATACACAGGGAAACTATTAGAACTAATAAACCATTCAGCAAGGTTTCAGGACACAGTGAGTGAGTGATAGTCGCCCAGTCATGTCCTACTCTTTGTGACCCCGTGGACTGCAGCCCACCAGGCCCTTCTGTCCATGGGATTCTTCAGGTGAGACTACTGGAGTGGACTGCCATTTCCCTCTCCAGCAGCATGCAGGATAAACACCACAAAATTCAATTGCATTGGAATGTCAACAGGGACAGCCACAGTGGAAAACGGTATGAAAGTTTCTAAAAAATATATATAGAACTACTGTGGGGTCCTGCACCCCCACTGCTGGATGTTTATCCAGAGGAAATAAAAACACTAATTCAGAAAAGTTATCTGCACCCCATGTTCACTGCAGCACTGTTTACAGTGGCCAAGATACAGAAGCAGCCTAAGCATCCATTGATGGATGAATGGATAAAGAGGATGTGGTGTATGCATAATGGAATATTATTTGGCCATAAAAGAAGGAAATCCTGCCATTTGCTGTAACATGGATTGGACCTTGACAGTATTATGCAAAGTGAAACAAGTTGAAGTGAAGTTGGTCAGTTGTGTCCGACTCTTTGTGACCCCAGGGACTGTAGCTTGCCAGGCTCCTCTGTCCATGAGATTTTCCAGGCAAGAATACTAGAGGAGGTTGCCGTTCCCTTCTCCAGGGGATCCTCCCAACCCAGGAATCAAACCCAGGTCTCCCGCATTGCAGGCGGATTCTTTTCCAGCTGAGCCACCAGGCAAGCCCAAGAATACGGGAGTGGGTAGCCTATCCCTTCTCCAGTGGGTCTTCCCAACCCAGGAATCAAACTGGGGTCTCCTGAATTGCAGGAGATTGGATTCTTTGGATTCTTTACCAACTGAGCTATCAGGGGAGCCCTGTGCAAAGTGAAACAAGTTAGAGAAAGATAAATACCATATGATCCACTTGTATTCAGAATTCTAAAGAAAAAAAAAAAATAAGGGCTACTAGATACAGAGAACAGAATGGTGGTTACCAGAGGTCGGGGCTAAAGGGGCCAAGATGGGTGAAGGGGTCAAACATACACACTTCCAGCTATAAAATAAGTGAGTCCTGGATATGCAGCATACAGTGTGGTGACTACAGTTCACAACACTGGACTGAATATCTGAAAGCTGTCAGGAGAGCAGATCTTGAAAGTTCTCATCGGAAGGGAAAAAACCTTGTGACTATGAGGTGGTGAATGTTGCCTGACTGGGGTGACCATTGGGCAGCATATACAAATATCAGATCATTATCTTATACACCTGAATAATATGCTGTTATAGTCAATTTAAAAAATCCACTGTGGGCTTTCCTGGCGGCTCAGTGGTAAAGAATCCGCCTGCCAATGCAGGACAAGCGGGTCTGATCCCTTATCCGGGAAGATCACACATGTTTCAGAGCATCTAAGCCCGTGCTCTAGAGCTGGGGGGCCACAGCTACTGAGGACATGTGCGGCAGCTACAGAAGCCCGCCTGCCTAGGGCCTGTGCTCCACGAGGGAAGCCACTGCAGGGAGAAGCCCGCACGCCACAACCAGAGGGAAGTCCACGCAGCAACCAAGACCAGCACAGCCAAAGATAAACTTTACAAAATCAACAGGAACACAGAAAGCTCTGACAATGAATATAAGAAAGCACCTTCATTTACAATAACATTCAAAAGATCAAAATATTCATAAATAAATTTAGCATCCAAAGTATTAAGACTTGTGTAATGAAAGCTACAGAACATTATTGGAAGCAATTAAAGAAGGCCACAATAAACAGGACATCCCATATTCATGAATCAAAAGACTTTATGCTATTAAGACGGCAACACTTCACAAAGGGAACTACAGGTTCAACGCGATCCACAGCAAAATCTTAGCTGCCTCCTTTTCTTTCTCCTTTTTTTTGTTGCAGAAATTAACAAGCCAATGCTGAAATCCATTTGGAAATGCAAGGAACACAGAATAGCCAAAACAGCATTGAAAAAGCAGAGCAAAGATGGAGGACTTACACTTCCCAGTTTCAAAACTATTATGAAGACGGTGTGACCCTGGCATAAACATAGACACACGGATCAACGAAACAGAGCTGAGAGTCTGGAATCAAGCCTGCACGCTTGTACTCAGTTTTTGATGAGCGACCGGACAATTAAATGGGGAAAGAATAGCTGTTGGTATTGGGACAACCAGGTACATACTTGCAAAGGAAGCAACTGGACTCTTCCTTACAGCCCTTGCAGAGATGAAGTCAAAACAGATCAAACAGTGACACATAAGACAAAACTAGAAAACTCTTAGAGGAGAGCATGTGGGGATAAAATGTTTTGACCTGAGTTAGGGAATGGTTTCTTAGATATGACACTTTTTGCACAAGTATGAAAAATAAATTGGATTTCATTAAAATTTAAAATGTGCATCAAAAGACATTATCACTAAAATGAGATATTGACAATATCACTAAAATGACAACCTGCTGAATGGGACAAAACATCAGCTAATCATATATATAACAGACTTGCATGTAGAATATATAGTAAATGCTCACAATTCGATAATAAAAAAACTAATAACTCAATTGTTTTAAATGGAGAAAGGAGATGAGCAGACATTTCTCCAAAGAAGATACACAAGTGGGCCAATGAGCACGTGAAAAATGCTCAGCATCATTATTCAGGAGGGAAAGCAGACCAGAACCATAATCAACGAGATACCGTTCCACATCCATTCCATCGTGTCCAACTCTTTGTGGCCCTAGGGACTGTAGCCTGCCAGTCTCCTCTAGGCATGGAATTCTCCAGGCAAGAATACTGGAGTGGGTTGCCGTTTCCTCCTCCAGGAGACCTTCTCGGCCCAGGGATTGAACCCGGGTCTCCTGCATTGCAGGCTGATTCTTACTGTCTGAACCACCGGGGTAGTCCTCACATCCACCAGGATGGTTTAGTTAAAAGGGCAGACATGGGAAGTGTTGGCAAGGATGTGCAGAAAGTGGAATCCTCATACGTGGCTGGCAGAAATACAAAACAGTGCGGCCCTTTGGAAGACAGCCTGGTGAGGCTTCAAAATTTAAAGAGTTTCCATATGATCTATCATTTCTACTCTTTAGAATATGCCCAAGAGGAATAAAAACAGATGAAGAGCTCGTATGCAAATATTCATAGCATGGCTGTTCAAAACAGCCCAAAGGCAGAAACAGCCCAAACAGTACATCCTCTGATGAGTGGATAAGCAAAGTATGGTAACTCTACGCAGTGGAACATTGTTTGGCAAAACAATGAATTATTGATCCGTGCCACAAACATGGAGGAATCTTTGACATCGCGCTGCATTAAAGGAGCTGTCACACAAAGCCACACACTGTATTATTCTACGTCTGTGAAAAGTCCAGAATAGAGATGAAAAGTAGATCAATGGCTGCCTAAGGCTGTGGGGGTGAGAGAAATGGGGGTGACTGTCAGCGGGCCCAGGGTTTTCCCTGAGGCGGTGAAAATGCTCTGCGGTTATGGTGACGGTTGCACAGCTCTGCGGATTCACTAAAAAGCTCTGAATCATACACTTAAGGGGCTTCCAGGTGGCGCTAGTGGTAAAGAATCAAGAGATCTCTGGGTCTGGAAGATCCCCTGGAGGAGGAAATGGCTACCCACTCCAATATTTGTGCCTGGAAAATTCCTTGGGCAGAGGAGTCTGGCGGGCTACAGTCCATGGGATCTCAGAGTCAGACACGACTGAGCACATATATTTTAAGTGGGTGGATCACGGGGCATGTGAGTTATATCTCAGTAAAGCAGGTTTTTGGGTTTTTTTATTTTTTAAGAAGGTAATTTTTTTCCCATTCAACTTGGAGATGTGTCGTGTTCCCAGAATAAGCAGGGCTGGGCACTTGCTGGGGCCCTGAATGCTGCCCCGCCCCCAGAGTATGGGCCACAGCCCCTTAAACCCCACCCGGGGGAGCAGGGGCAGATACCCTCAGAGGGAGAGGCTGGGGGATGCTCCAGCCAGCAGCTCGGCACGAGCGCCCGCCTTGACCCTCCCTGGTTAAAAGAGGTTAAAAGAGTCTTGGCAAGCGGAGAGGGCAGAAATTTTGTCTTTGCAGTTTTGACACAGCTAATACACTTGCGAAATGCATCAAAGGGGAGAAACGTGAGCAAATGTGGTGAAGACATTTACCACGATGCTATCAAGACACTGAGGTTTGCTTGCAAAACATACCCACATCAGGGATGGAGATGGGATTAAGCACGAGGACTTGGAATTCATGAGTATTTGAGACTGACTCACCGCGTATGAGGCTCAGGGGACTACTAAGCGGGCTGAACACAAACCCTCCCAAGAGATGAGTCAAAGTGCCCAGAGGTCGAGAACAAACTCTGCTGACGTGGGAGGAGCAGCACGTGGGCAGCGATTGTTTAACGGGACTTTCCATGACACACGGTATAAACGACCTTCACTGGACTAATTGACCTTAGAGCTGATCCCCTCTGGTTTGGGCATTTACTAGCCTATAACTTAAAGAAAAAAAACCCCATTTGTACCACCTGTTTCATGGCTTAAAGAACATTTGGTAACAACATCATCAGCTGTCAGAGCTACGAGAACCTTTGGAAATCACCTAGTCCCACTGTCCCAACCCATTTTACAGATGACTACATTGAGGCCCAAGGAGGGTGACTGACCCAAGGGCACACTGGGAGTTTCTCTGACATCTGGTCCAGGCTCTTTCTGAGGAACTGTGGGAAAACTCTCCTCCCTATCTCAGAGTTTAGAATTTTTAGAATATGAGTCTTTAAAAGAAAGACTGATCTTTAGAATATGAGTCTTTCGAAGAAAGCTGCCTTTTTACCGGGAAGTGATCCTCAAGCAAGATTTGAAAGGTAACAAGTTTTCATGCCATTTGAAGGAAAAGTCCGGGTCTGCTGTCTCATTGTTTCCAGAGTAAAACGTGGAATTCCTTTCTTTCCCTGACACAGAAACAAAACAGGCAACTGGAGAAGAGGAAACCTGAGGACACAATGGCCATTTCAGTTCAGCCCCAAACAGATCTGCACAACATGACCCGAGTGGTGACCCCTGGTCCCTAGAGTCAACCCACAAGGAAGTGCCTCACCTCGTAACAGATGAGACATTAACGAGCCAAGACACGTGTGCGGCTCCTCAGCCAGGCGACATCATCCTGGGGTGCCCAGGTGCCCCTGCCGCAAGGGCCACGCCTCCAGAAGTGGGCGAGGACGGGGGTGCAGAACCCTGCTCCCTGGGGTGACCTGGCTCAGGGTCCTGGCTCCGTCACTGGGGTGACAGGGGTCTCCAGCTCACCTTCCGGCCTGTCCAGCTCATCCCCCACTTAGGTAAACAAAAGCAGAACTTGACCGCACCGGATCAGGGACGCAGCACCTAAAGTTCGTGGTCCTCCCGGCCCCCCAGTCCAGTCCGGCAGGTGAGGGGCACCGAGGGAAAAGTCTGAGGCTCTGGTTCAGAGGCCAGTCTCTCCCGACATCCAACACACTTCTGAAACTGACGCTGGTCCCTGGCAACGCCAAGATCAGGGGGCTGTCTGTTCTCTGCAGACAGGTGTCACCCGCGCTCTGTCCTCCAGCCCTCGGCGCCCAGGACGAGGCCCCACAAGGCGCTTCAAACGCCCCAGCGGACGCAGGGCTCGGAGAGCAGTGGTGGGGTCGGGGGACCCAGGACACGGGGAGCCGTCGGTGTTGCCCGTGCACACGCTGTCCGCGGGCCGGGTGCGTGCCTCATCGTGGACACGACGCCCGGAAGCCCGCTCCAGGCACACCCGAGTCGCCGGTTGGAGGGAGGCTCGTGCGCCCCAAGCTCGACCCCTCCACCCACCCAGCGGGGAGAGCCCCGGCCGCACCCAAACTGAGCCGAGCGGGTGTGGGTCCACCACCAGCCCCGAGTGGGACAGCTGAGCGACTGAGGCCAGAGAAGCAGGGTTCTGTCTGGGGCCACGAGGTGCCACCAGGTGGACAGAGTCCAGAGAAAAAGAGGGGGTTCCCACCTCCTAGGTCTACTCTAGGATGAGTCCCTCAGGTTCTGCAAGACCCCTGCCCACGCCTCCCAAGTGGGACCTGTTCCTCTGGGCGTCCCTGCAAGGGTGTAGGTGTGCACATGTACACACCAACGCACACACTCACTCACTGCCCTCCAGGGGTCAGAGGGGAGTGCATGCAGAGGAGCTGAGAAGGATGAGATGACGGAGGCCGGGGCAGCTCTGCCAGAGGGCAGGGGCATCCTGTATCCTAGCCACATCCTCGGGAGGGGAGACCAGGCTGCCAGCAGGTGGTCCCCACGGTTCTCAGGAAGCTCCCTCAGCCACAGAGCTCCTTTAGAGAACGGGGGTCTGCAATCTTGTGTCCATCGCTCTGAACATATAAATGAGTATGAACCCCCTAGAATGTTGGGAGGGGAGCAGAGAACACCCCATTCCTTCTCTGAAATTGGGGTTCTTAACAAGGTGACCCCAAGGCTTGCACAGCTGGAGAAGTGTCACTCGGTTTCCCATTGATGACCACCTGCACTTTGGGGATCCTTTGGGTGGTCCACGGAGGCTGCAGGTCCTGTCTCTTTGGCCTGCGGCCCAGGAGAGCTGACGTTGCTTCACTGTGCAGATCAGCTGAGCCCTCTGGGCAGGGGCACCTGCCTTCCCATCCTCTCCCTACCCCTGCCAACTGCCCAAGGTAAAACAAAGACTCAGTGCCAAGCTACAGACAGCGGTCTTGTTGGCAGGGCAATGGCCCTCATATTAATACATTTTGTCCTCAGTGTTTCGGTCCATGCTTAGGTTGGAAAAGAATTGCCAGACAAGAGACAGAGTGAGACAGGATAGAGTCTATTAGTGCGAGAGTTGCATTAGGACAGCTGGCCTCCTGACAGAGCCAACCACCATCAGACATCATCTGCCTGTTTGTTTGTGTTTTTTTGTCTTAAATTATTTTTAAAATCAGATGATAATTGCAATATTGTGGTGGCTTCTACCATACAGCAACATGAATCGGCCGTAGGTTTACACGTGTCCCCTTCTTCTTGAAACCCTCTCCCACCTCCCTCCCCACCCCACCCTTCTAGGCAGTCACGAAGCACTGGCTTTGGGGTCCCTGCCTCACACATCAAGCTCCCACTGGTTATGTGTTTTACATCTGGGAATGTATATGCTTCAGTGCTCTTCTCTCAGACCATCCCACCCTCTCCTTCTCCCACTGGGTCCAGGCAGGGAACAAAGGAACGGGGTAGGAATCTTGCGAGTCATTTGCTAACTGGGTGAGGTCTGTATAGTTTCCTTGTACAGGGAAGGAGAGCAGGACGGCCTTTTGTGAGACAAAAATGGACAAGCCATACTGCCCAGGAGGGCTCAAAACTTCTGCAGCAGTTGCAACATGGTGGAAAGGGCGATGGGGGTCTGGCGCTTTCTGTTCCTGCACGGGCTCAGTGACGGTGAGGAGCAGTGATTCTGACCGCCCCACGCACCGCCGGCCTTGGTCGCTGAGAGCTGAGCGAGCTTGACCTGGGACCACTGCTTATCTATAAAGTGTGTGAAATCACTGAGTTCCCAGAGGGCCCCCTGATGACAGTAAGCGCCCCAACACGCGCTCATCTGCGTGGTGGGCTTCCTCCGGCCCCACTTACACCAGCCTGGGCTGCATACAACTTCTGCCTGGGGTCCTGTGAGAAAGACGAGTGTGGGGTGGCGGGGAGGGGTGGAGAAGGAGGAGGAGGAGCCGCCAGGCCTTCTCCCTGCCCCGCTGGGTGTCTATTGGGCCCTGTGGGTCCACCTGACCCAGCCGTGCCCTGAGCTGGACCCTGGGATGGAGTCTGGGGACCAGCAGAGCTGGAAGAGGTAGATTCAGTGACCCTCAGGTCCCCAGATGTCCAACCCAGCCAGCCCAGCGTGCTGCAGCCCGCCTGTCAGGGAGGGTGGGCCCCGGGGCCCAGGAAACTTGGGGGGAGTGGGGGGTAGAGGGGGGCGGTGATCACAGAGCGGTTGGCCAGCGTCAGGACACACGGCCAGAGGCGCCTGCACACTCACATGCCCACACCCTCCGGGGCCTCCTGTGGCTCTTGGCCGTAATCGCGAGGCCCAGCCGCCAAGCGGAAGGAAGGCCAGTATGGCCCTGAGCAGGTGCCCACCACGCCCGTCCAGAGGAGAGAGCCTGGGCGCATCCTCGCAGAGCTGGCCTGATGCAGGTCCCCGTCCACCCCGCCATGAGGCCCCGGCCTGGGAGGTGGGCAGAGTCTAGAAGGACGGGATTGGTTCCTACTTCCCCGGCTGGGCTCAACCCTCCCCGGGGGTTTCCTCTGGGATGAGAGCCCCTCAGGTCCTGGAGGACCCCTGCCCACCCCTCCCATGGGGGGCCGATTCCTCCGGGCGTCTCCACGAGGGCCCAGGTGCACGCGTGCACACACACACAACTCAGTCACTGACTGTCCTGCTGGGGGTCAGAGGGGTGTGCACGGGGGGAGGGGAGAGGGGTGAGAAGGAGGAGGTTGTGGACGGAGATAATGACCCCTCAGCAACATGCCCAGCCCATAGCATGGGAAGGGGGTCGCCAGGGTGCCCGCCGGGCCATCCCTAGAGAGGCCTGGGGGAGACAGGGTCTGGGGTCCTGCGTCCACCACTCTGGGCTCCAGGAGCTAGGATGAGGCTCCTCCCCAGGAAAGGACTCCCTGTAGAGGGGGTGCTTAGACGGGGTGGTCCCCGAGGCCCCGTAAGATTGCAGGAGAGTCTGCTGGCCTTGCTCCCCCGTCCGTGACCCACTGTGCTCTGAGTCCTTGGAAAAAGCTTCTGCTCCCTGAGGTCCTTCTGAGCAGGGGGCAGCCTGGGGATGTGGGGGACTGGAGACCCGGGGGTGCAGAAGGCGGCAGGGACTGGATCACCCATCGGGGACCAGGGACAAGACCCTCCTTGTTGGCCCCTGGGGGTCCTCATTTGGACCCCTGGTTGGGGTGAGGAGGCCTCTGGAGTGACCTGGGCATGGGGACAGTGGAGGGGGAGGGGGCGAGGGAGGTGCAGAGGTCCCTCTCGCCCAGGAGCCGGCAGGCCCTGCTCCCTCGGTGGGGGGGGTGCCCTGGTGGAACCACGGCCTGGCTGAGCTGCTGTCACGTCCCGCCAGGCTCCTCTGTCCATGGGTCTTTTTGGGTAAGAGTATCGAGGGGGCTGCCCTTTCCCTTCTCCAGGGGGTCTTCCCGGTGTGTCTTCTGCGTCGCAAGCAGATTCTTTACCCGCTGAGCCATCGGGGAACCTGGACCCCAAACGAGGGATTTGGTCTCTGCTTTTCCAGCCTGGGGCTGCAGTGCTGGGGATGGCCACGAGGGGGCGGGCAGTGCCCACTCTGCTCCATGGAGGATAGCCCAGGGTCATTCTGGGCGTCCACCTGCCTCTGACTCAACAGGCACCTTTTATTGTTAGCCTCCAGGCCCACCGTGCCAGCTGCTCAGAGGCGGGAGGGGGCTCTGAGACCCTCTGTTGATGGTTCAGCTACTGCGTCCCCGGCACGAAGAAGAGGGGTCATGTCAGGCCTGGGGGCGGTCTGACTCGACAGATGGTCCCTGCCCTGCGGGAGCCCACGGCCGGGAGGGGCAGGTGGACGAGAGCAGGAGAGCGAGTCCGCGCGAGGGAAGGGCACGCGCTCCAGGGAGCGGAGTCCGGGTCCTGGGCGACGGCCGGGAGCCCTGGGGGCCCACAAGGCTCCACGGGACACCGATGCCGCGACCAGAGAGACAGGGGCGGCCAGCCCCGCACGCTCTGAGCAGCGAGCTGGGGCGGGGGTCAGAGATGCGGAGACTCAGAGGAGGAAGAGATTTCAGCCAGAGGGCAGCTGAGGCCGCAGCCGGGGTGGCCGGAGATGGAGGGGGGGGGAGGATGGGGAGGGCAGACCCGGGTCTGATGGATGTCCCGGGGTCTGTGCTGTGTGATGGTCTTCCCCTCACTTACAAAGGCAAGGGGCTTCCCCGTGGCTCAGCGGTAAGGAATCCTCCTGCAAGACAGGAGCCAGAGGAGACGTGAGCTCGATCGCTGGGTCGGGAAGATCCCCTGGAGGAGGGCGTGGCAACCCACTCCAGTATTCTTGCCTGGAGAATCCTGTGGACAGCGGAGCCTGGCGGGCACAGTCCATAGAGTCACAAAGAGTCGGACACGACAGAAGCACCTTCGCACGTGCATGCAAGAGGGCAAACCCTGACCCTCACACGGTGTCTGTGACCCGGATGCAGGCTCCGCTCAGATGGGGACCTCTGCCCCGAGGTTGCCCAGGAGGCTGGGCTGTGGTCCCAGCTGAGGCTCCATCAGGGCGGGTCTGTCTCTGAGGCCATTGGTGGATTCAGTATGGACGGGGGTTCAGGTCTTTCCAGTTTGTGGGCCTGACCCAATGTCAGTTCTTTTTACTGGAGCCTCAGGTCACCTCATAACATCTGATCCTGCCTCTCTGGAACATTGCATCAGAGACAGGGAGACAGAGACAGGAGAGAGAAACCCAGGAGGGGGGACCAGGAGGGGTCACAGACTTTTCATCAGTGAGTCTTGGAAACGACAGCCCTTCGCTTTTGCCCGATTCTGTTCATTTGAACCCAAAGCCCCAAGCCCCTACACCCTCAGGGAGGACTCACAGGGGTGTGGGCCTGGAGGCGGGAATGCTGGGGGCTGTCGTGGGGCTCGCCATCCACAGGCAAAGGGGAGATGGGACAGCAGGACCTCATCCACTTATCACGCACCTGTGGAGCAACGACTGAAGCTAAAGGAGAAGCCGGGGGCAGAGGATGAGATCACGGACTCAGTGGGCATGAACCCCGGGGGACAGGAGAGGGCAGAGGAGCCTGGCGTGCTGCAGTCCATGGGGTCGCAAAGGTCAAACGCCACTTAGTGACTGACCGGCTACTACAAGGAGAGTAAATGGAAAAGAATGAGTTCTAAAGGAATAAAGAATTAAAGAAGAAAGCCCTCCCTCCCCTCGTGTGCCCTGAGCCCTGGAGGGCGAGGAAGATTCCAGGGCGTGTGCTTTTGCGGAACCCAGTTTCCCCTGGTGGACATCAGCCAGTCCATCCTCTTCCTCTTCTGAATTGTCCAGGGCCCCCGAATCATGTAAATACTGAGTCCATTTCCGATTTTTCTCTCCCATCGTTGTGCTGAAGGGAACATGTGAGTCCATAAATCTTTGTTTAGCTTAAATCCCTGGAAGGGAGATTCTCGGTCTAATGCAAACATGATTTTAACAGTGGTCACAGTTTCCAAACTCCGAGGTCTTCTTGGTCACTCTGAGCCTTGTTTGGGAAAGCAAGGGTCCACATGCTGGGGCTGAAGCCCCGAGGAGCGCAGCCAATAGGATCGGCCTGCAGTGAAGGTGACCGAAGGCCAGAGACCACCACTGCCACCGCCCACCCCAGGGCTCGGCCTCCAGCCGCTGGCAGCTGGCAGCTCAGAGGCAGAGCCTGAGGGTGAGAAGGGGAGGCTTAGGGGGCGGAGAGGGGGAGGGGGCGGGACACACAGGGACACGGGAGCAGCCAGCCCCCAGAGGCTGACGCTGGGCCAGGAGCAAAGACGGTGCCCACCCCGCCCCGGTCCCCAGTTTCCAGAGCTCCAGCTCTGATTAGTAACCCCGTCTAGGCCTGCAGGGGGGACCTGGGGTGCTGAGTCGGGGTGCCGCAGAGCCGGGTGACCCTCCCCCGCCCCCCCAGGAGCTGTTCAGGAAGGTGGTCCCCTACCACTGGTCCCCGCGGGCCAGGAGGGCAAGGAGCACCTGGCCCCCACCGTCCGTGCCACCGTCAGCCCGTTCAGCAGTGTGGCCAACCGCGTCATCACCACCTGCCTCGGGGACGGGAGCGTGTCAGCCCGCCACAGGGCCAGGGTGGTGGAGCACTGGACCCCAGGGGCCAGGGCATCCCACGAGAGGGCCCAGGAACCCCTCTCCAGTTCTGGAAGCTTCCTGTTCTTGGAGAAATGTGTCTGCAGCTTGCCAGCTGGTCACTGTGGCTGCTGGGTGGGTAGGAGGGGAGGGGTCCTTCCGTCCCAAAGCATGCTCAGCCTGCTCCCACGAAACCAGGCCCCACCGCTCACTGTGCTTCAGGGAGAGGGCACCCCAGCTGCCCAGGAACGCGGTGCCGCTGGGACGCTCAAGTGGCCCAAGAGGCTGCCCTGGGAGGCAGGTCTGGGACTCCCCACCCTGCCCCCAACCACAGAGAACCCAGTTAGCAACACTTCATGGCAGTGTAGCCCAAACTGTTCATAACCGGTGAGCTTTAAGAAGTCTCAGGAGACTAATGAATCCATGGTGGGTCCTCCCTGACCCCACCTCAAGGCTTCCCCAGCGCCCCCGGGCAGTCCCTATCCCAAGTCAGAGCCGACACCTAGGCGACCCCTCCTGAGTGGGGCTCGACGGAGGTCTCTATCTGTAGAAGAGGTGAAGAAGGCCTTCGCAGGGCCTCAGACCCACCCTGGGGGCGGGGGCTCCGGGGGGCTGTGGCAGAGCCAGCAGCACAGCCAAGCCTCCCAGAAAGCGGGAGGCCCTCCTGCAGGGAACAAGAGGTGGCCCCAGGTCAGGGGCACCCGGGGCTCGGGGCAGTCACTGTGGCCAGCGTTGGTCACCGGTGCCTCTGGGCTTCAAGGTTCCCTAGCGGCTCAGGCGGTGAAGAATCTGCCCGCAAGGCAGGAAACCGGGTCCATCGCTGGGTCAGGAAGATCCCCTGGAGGACACGCGCACGGGGCCTTGCCTGGTTCTAAGTGCTTTTGTTGTTGCTCAGTCGTGTCCGACCCTTTGTGACCCCATGGATTGCAGCACACCAGGCCCCCCTGTCCATCACCAGCTCCCAGAGTTTGTTCAAACTCATGTCCATTGAGTCGGTGATGCCATCCTCCACCATCTCATCCCTTCTCCTCCTGCCTTCAATCTTTCTCAGCGTCAGGGTCTTTTCCAATGAGTCAGCTCTTCGCATCAGGTGGCCAAAGTGTTGGGAGTTTCAGCTTCAACATCAGACCTTCCAGTGAACGCTCAGGACTGATCTTTAGGATGGACCGGTTGGACCTCCTTGTTGTCCAAGGGGCTCTCAGGAGTCTTCTCCAACACCACAGTTCAAAAGCATTAATTCTTCGGCGCTCAGCTTTGTAGTCCAACTCTCACATCCATACATGACCGCTGGAAAAACCATAGCCTTGACGAGACGGATCTTTGTCGGTAATGAGACGGACCTTCGTCTTGGCTTTTTAATACGCCGTCTAGGTCAGTCATGGCCTTTCTTCCAAGGAGCAAGCGTCCAAGTGTTTTGCAGAAGCTAGCTCGTGCTGTCCCGCCGCCCACGGAAGGCAGGTTCCACCCTACCGTCGGAGGCGCGGGGGCCGCGCGAGGATCGCCCCCACCCCGGGCGCGGCTGGCAGGAGGTCTTAACAGAGGAGCTCAGCCCAGGCCCGCGGGCGCCACGCAGGCGGTGCGGCCGGGAGGGTCCGCTAGATGGCGCTGCGGCGCCGGCGAACTCGGGGAGGGCGCGGGCTGGGCCTCGCGGGCCGCCGTCCGCATTATAAAAGGCGCGGCGCGCGCTCGCGCGTCCTTTCCGGGCGGCGAAGATGGAGAGGTTGGTGGGAGCTCGTTGTGGCCTGGGCGGGAGGCCGCGCGCCCGTCCGCCCCAGGGCCCGCCTGCGGCCAAGCCCCGCGCCCGGCGTCTCCGCCCAGGGTGCTCTCCGCAGTTTCCCGGCTTGGAAGCCTCGGGAACATGGCAAAGCAGCGGGGGTTTAACGGGTGAGTTGGGATAGTAGGGGAAAGTGCCGCGCCCCCCCGCCCGGCCAACATTCCGGCTCGTTGCGGTGGGAATTGCAGCGCACGAGCCTTTAATGCCTGGTTTGTCTTTAAACGTGTTGATCGCCACTGTATACTGGGCCCTGTCTCAAAGCTAGTTGGTCTACGGGTTATCCGTGGGTTGTAACGCAGTGGGTGTGGAAGCGGGGTCCCCTTAACGCAACAGTGGGGAGGGGGCGGCGGTATGCATAGCGCGGCCCTTCTGTCCCTTGGGGTCTGCACGCTGTATCGTAACCTCGGTTTTCCACACAGCCCGAAATGAAGCAGGGAGTCAAACGGAAGGTACCTGGGGTTGGCGTGCAGACAGGTGTAGGCCTGGAGGGCGAATGCAGCAAAGCCAAACCTGGGTGAAGGGCCTCGTTGCGCGCTTCGCAGGCGCACAGAAAGTCTCGGGACTCGGACCCACGGGTGTCATGATCTTCCCCGCACTGCCCCCAGAGGCGTTGCAGGTGTGGCTGCTGTGTCACGTCTGTGTCATGAGGTGGCAGAGAGCAGAGAGGCTTGGTCTACGCCCAGTGTTCTGGCCAGTGGACATCTGGATGATTGATAGTCTGACACTTGACAAAGTGCCCACCGAGGGTGGGTGGGTGTTGCCTGAAGCCTGTCGTGTAAGAACGCCTTAATTTGCTCCTAGCGCTTGGCTGGGCCTCAGGTCACCCCGAGCTTGTCGTGTGAGGAGCGGCAGCAGGTGGGCGGTTACCCCTGGCACAGCGACCAGCAGGAAAGATGGGTAGGTTTCAGTAAGGCCGACCTACTTGCATTACGAAATGGTGGCACTAAAATTTCCCTTTCAAAGGTGAGCTCAATGCCACCTAGCAACTGACATATTGAGCTTGTTTTAGGTGGATTGAAATGTTACAGGGTATTCACACGTAGCTATTCTGCCTCTTAAAAGAAATTTTATGATGGATTGTACAGCCAGAAACTCTTTATTTTTATTTTTTTTCCCCGTGTACCGGGGTAGCTGTGCTGCCCTTAACAGGGCAGAGATCACAGCCCCCCGCCAGTTCCTGTGGCAGACAGAAAAAGCACCCGCCTGGGGCTGCGGCTGGGTGCAGAGTGAGTCTGCAGCAGAAACTCTTTAAAGGAAAAAGTTGACAGATAGCAACAGACAGTTCCAAATACCAGCTGCAGTGGCCTACGATGAGGCCTGTTTAAATTCCAGAGAGTTTTTTTTCCTGTGTCACCTTGTTCATTGTACTTTTCTGGTCCATTGATCTATCCAGTGTCTCACTGGTAGCTCCCTGGGAGAGAAGGTGCAGAGATTTCGGGGCGGGGGGGTGGCCTCCTGGATGGGCTTCCTTGGTGGCTGACTGGTAAAGAATCCGCCTGCCAGTGCAGGAGACCCAAGAGAAGGGAATGGTCAGCCACTCCGGTATTCTTTCCTGGGAAATCCCATGGATAGAGGAGCCTGGCTACGCTGTGGTCCCCCAGGTTCATCAGACACCAGCCTACTGCCAGGTGCTGGCACAGGCAGACCCTGTCAGTCTCAGCTTGGAGCTGACCACCAGGGGTTCTGTGCCAGCGGCCCCCTTCATTAGTTTTAAATACTCAGCAGTAGCTTCTCTTCACTGATTCTGGACCACCCATTCTTATTATTTGATAGAGGAAGGGCGGTGACAGCCTGTGTCGAGAGTGAGCAGCCGCACGCTACAGACCGAGGTAAGAGGCCATGCTCTGCTGAGCTGCTCCTGGAGGCCTGGGGGGCGGGCACTGCCCTGCAGATGCCGGACTCGCCGGCACCACGGGTGTGGCCACCCTGCTGCACCTGTGCCGTTGGGGCAGAGAGGAAGCGGCTATTTCTACGCTCAGTGCTCAGAACCGTGGGCACTAAGAATGGTTTGTAGCCGGACATCACCGAGGGAGCCCCTTGTTCCCACGTGCGCGGAAGGGAAGGCCGGGGAGGACTGAGTGAGCGGACAGGCAGGCGGCGAGCTTGGGTCCGGTGGGGTTGACCAGGAGAGGGTCTGCTGGAAATGATGGCTCTGTCAGTCTGTGGGAGGACTGTTTAGGAGTCCCTTGAGGGAAGGCCAGAGGATTCCATTGATGGCGCTGCTGCAGAAAAAACAGGGTTTGGGAGGATTCGCTGATTAGATTCCATCTCACAGATCCATAGGCGCAGCTGGTCCGTGGGAGAGGGACCCTCATGTGGGACTCTTCAGGACACGTGTCAAGACAGGTAAGCTGGGCAGTGGGCTGGCTGGGGGTCTGACAGCTTCTGGACCCGCACAGTAGACAGTGGTTTGCCAGAATCTGGGTGTGGACTCTCGGGTCATTAGCTGCTGGGGCAGCTGGGTGGCAAGTTAGGGGTGTGTCAGGGGGAGTGTGTGCAGCTGGCTGGAATCAGTTGTGGGGGGTGCTCTTGGGGGTGTTCGAGGACCTGACTAAAAGCTGCTCTGGGAAGAACTCGGGGAGCAGGATGCAGCTGGTGACTCTCTGCTGGCAGAGCTGGCCCCCCTGAGCTAGTGTGACCCAGCCCTCACGCCCTGTGGGAGGGGCCACACTGCAGGGGAGCGCTGTCTGCACTGTGTGTGGCTGGTGGGTTTTTAATCCAGGTCGGGTGTTTTTTGTTTTTTAAGAATGATCTTGAACTTGTGGCTGCCAACATTTCCTCGTGTTCTGCGCTTGAGTTTTCTGTGGCTTCTCCACTGGAGTGGGGCCAGGGTGACGGTGGGCTTGCCGGAAGTCCGACAGCTGCAGGTGGCAGCAGGTCCAGTCCGTCCACCTTTGAGCCTGGCGGCGGCATGTCCTTCCCCACCCTGCTTGATGACCCTCACTGGCTGAATCCCCTAGAAACTGGGAGAAGTGTTGGGGGGATGGGGCTGAGGAAGCTTGTCTTTGCATTCCGCAACCCCACTGCTGTCTGAGGTCTCCGCCCGAGCTAAGGAGGCTTGACCAGGGGAGCAGCATCGATCCGACACTGGCCCGACCCCTCCGCGCCGGGAGGTGCGCCTAGTGAGCCCCCTCGGTTTCCTGTCTGCAGGCGGGCCCCAGTGAGCAGCCCAGCAGCCACGCACCGCTGCAGTGGAGGTCGGCACAGAGCCTGGGAGAGGCGCGGCCTTGGAAATTCCTCTGAAGAAGAACATGTGGGCCTAGCATGTCGTGTTGAAAAGCAGTAGCAGTGTGTGCTTCTCCCCCTCGATGTGGTTCAGCAGGGCTGAGGCAGCGTCCTCCAGCCAGGAGGTGCAGGCAGGATCTTGTATGCGGGCCCACCCCACAGCCCTGAGCTGTGTCTGGATTATCCCCCCACCCAAGGGGAGAGTGTCGATGAGGTTTGCAAACTAGTCCTGAGAATGAGTGTCTCACAGCTGAACCCTTGGGACGCATGTCTTCAGCACAGGGTGTTACAGTGAATGGAAAGACCTCCTGTCTTTGTGAGGGAGCATGTCCCCACGTTGGCAAAGCTGCGAAGAGTAAATGCATCTCGAATAAACTACCTTGACTTGCCTTTCTCTGTCTGACCAGCCAGGGCCCCAACAGGAGCTGAGGGTGGGAGGGTCAGGGTCCCGGGCTCTTTCCTGGACAACAGTAGCTTTTTGAAATCGATGAAATCTGAAGTTCTGTAATTGTGTGTGCCCCTGCTTACGTCCCCATCCACGTGTGGTCCAGGTCAGGGCTGGTCACAACTGAGAACCATGGGCTCACTCAGCTTCCAGTCACCCTTGCCCTTGGCCCCAGTCCACCCCAAGCAGCCAGCTGCCAGGATGTGGGTCCAGGGGTCACATGCACCCCTGTGGCTGCCCCATTCCCTGCAGTAGACTCCAGGTTGAATGGGGTGGGGGTACTCGGGAAAAATGGAAAGGCTGGCTTAAGACAACTAAGATCATGGCATCCTGTCCCATCACTTCATGGCAAATAGGGAAACAATGGGAACAGTGACACTATTTTCTTGGGCTCCAAAATCACTGGGGACAGGGACGGTAGCCATGAAATTAAAAGACACTCCTTGGAAGAAAAGCTGTGACAAACCTAGACAGTGTATTAAAAAGCAAAGACATCATTTTGCTGACAAATGTCCATATATAGTCAAAGCTATGAACTTTCCAGTAGTCCTGTGTGGATGTGAGTTGGACCATAAAGAGGGGTGTGCTTTCAAGCCAGTCAATTCTAATGGAAAGCAACCCTGAATACTCACTGGAAGGCCTGAAGCTGAAGCTCCTGTATAAGACCCTGATGCTGGGAAAGATTGAAGGCGGGAGGAGAAGGGGACGATAGGATGAGATGGATGGCATCACTGACATGAGCTTGAGCAAACTCGGGGAGGTAGTGAAGGACAGGGCAGCCTGGCGCGCTGCATGCAGTCAGGCCGCAGAGCTGAACACGACTCGGTGAGTGAACAATTCACAGAAAAGCTTTATTTACACGTTCTCCAAAGAAACAAGACCGAGGTCTGGGCAGGTCCCAGGGCCAGCCCTCGGTGTTTGGGCTGTGAGTCCTTCCCTCTCTCCTGCCAGCTCCACTGTGGGAGCCCAGAGTACCCCGGGGGGCGGCGGCGGTGGTGCAGGGGCGGGAGCCGCGTGGCCGCCGCGCTCCGGCGGCAGAGGGCCTGTCCGGTGTGGGAGGCGGGGAGAGGCCCGGCGGCAGGCGCGGCTGGTGGGCGGAGCCGCGTGTCCGCCGGGGGCGGGGCGGGGCCTCAGGTGTACTTGGTGTTGGAGATCTCCTTCCAGAGCAGGGTCTTGAGGTGGCTGAGCACCAGCGAGTGGTGGGCCTCCACCTGGCTGGCCAGCCCGCTCAGCGTGGCGCAGGTGCGCAGCTGCCGGCCCAGCTCGGCGCGCAGGCCGGCGGGGGCGCCGGGCAGCAGGTAGTGGCGCAGCAGCTCGCACACCTTGGCCAGGTTGGGCTGCACCAGGTCGCCCTTGCACTGGCGCAGGAGCGTGTCGCAGGGCGCGCGGCAGTCGCGCCCGTAGGTGCAGTCCGCGCTGCGCTCGCAGTGGCGGCCCCGCAGGAAGCGGCGCACGGCGGCCTCGGGCGCCACCTGCTGCAGGTCTGCCATCCTGAAGTCGTACTTGGCCGTGTAGCCCACGTTGGCCAGCGTGGTCTCGCACATGTAGAAGGTCCCGTAGGCGCCGTGGAAGAGCTCCTCCACGAATTCCAGCAGGCCGATGGCGATCTTGGCGCGCCAGGGCCAGGCGGGCCCCAGCCACTGCTGCAGGGCCCCGTGCAGGGCAGGCGGCAGCAGAGGGCGGAGCAGGGCCGGGAGGGTGGCCGCGGGCCCCGAGCTGCGTGGGACGCCCTCCGTGACGTAGAGGTCCCCGCAGTGGCCCAGCAGCGGGGAGGCGTGCCCCTTCCCCTGCAGGGACAGCAGCAGCAGGAACTCGTTGCGCTGCAACAGCGCCCACACCGACTTGGCCTCGGCCAGCGACACCCTGCTGTCCTTGTTGAAGTCGGCCATAAGCAGGACCTGGCCGACCAGTGCGGGCAGGGAGGGAAGGTCCCCTAGGTTCGCCTGAGAGAGGGGAGGGGGGACGTGGGCGCGCAGCTGCAGGCTTGGCACCCGGCCCACGCATCGGTCCGACCAGGGAGCCCGGCCTCCAGCCCCCAGCAGGAAGGGGCAGCGAGGCGCTGGGGAGGCCCCCTCACCACTCCTGGAAAGCCCATGTGTGTCTCTGCCCCCAGTGCTTGGGGAGCCCGGGGACTTCCTGCATGAAGGTGGGAGCACTGGGGGGTCGCTCACCCCTCATCTGCCCCCTCCCCGGGTCCCACCTCCTCCCTGGCCTCCTCCCCGCCCCCTGCCCCCCCCCCCCGGCCCCGGGCAGGTTCTCATGCCTGTGGGTGCTCCCTGAGCCTCACGCCTGCGGGTTCTGCTTGGAGCCGGCGGGCTAGCCAGATACCCCCGGCCCATGTGGCCCCCCATCCAGCCTGCTGCCTGCCCTGTGCTCACGTCCTTGGGCGTGAACTTGACACACTCCCCGCCCTCAGGAGGGCCAGCTGACCTTGAGAAAGCTGAGGGTCATCTCCCGGAACTCCTTAATCGAGGTGCCCCGAGTAGGCTTGTCAAAGAGCACCAGTTCCCGCCGGGGGGCCACGTCGGCCCCGGCCTTCAAGCTCAGGCTCTCCTCGAGGCCACACTTGATGGTCACCTCCCTGCCCTGCCAGAGCCCGCTATACACCTGCGGGGAAGACAGGACCCGCTGTGCACACGCCCGCTCTGGCCGCACCGCGGGCGGCAGAGCCCCGGGGCTGGGCCCGCCGGGCTCACCTGCTGGCCTGGGACGGAGGAGAGGCAGGTCCTCCACTCCACCTGCTGCAGGCTGCACAGGTCCTGGCAGATGGAGCCTGAGATGATGCCCTTGCGGTACTGGTCACACTGAGGAGAGCAGGGAGACGCAGCAAGTGGCCTGGGGGAGCGAGGGCTCCATCCGCCCGCCCGCCCGCGCCTCATTAGCTGACACACAGGGAGAGGCTTGCAGCTCTGATCAGGTCGAGCTCTGCAGGAGCCGCTGCCCCCTCCGGGCCCTTCCTGGCTCCAGACAGGGCCTTGAAGCCCCCTGAGTCCCGGGGGTGTGGGCTGAGCCAAGCCGGAAGGTGAGGCCCTTCCCAGGGCGGTCCCTAGGTGGGGAGGTGGGGGGAGATTTGTGGCGGGTGAATTCCTGGATGTGCATCACCGTTGCCATGGTGCCCAGGCCCTTGGTGGAGCAGGCCTGCAGGAAGGGAGGGTGCTGGGGGCAGGGAGGCGGGGCATCCTGAACGCCAAGGCCCTGGACTCACCTGCGGGACCGGGGAGGAGGCTTCCGTGCTGCGGCTTCAGAGCCCGACAGCCGCTCATCAGGACAGAAAAGGGGAGGCCCTCCACTGCAGGGGTCCGCTCTGACCCCCGCAGGCCCCCCGGAGCTGCAAGGCCCTTCGTGGGGGTGTCTGCCAGTGCGGGCAGCCAGGCTGGGCCAGGGTCGGGGCCTGCCGGCCACGCTGCCCACCAGGGTGGGGAGGGGCTTCCACCGAAGCTGAGGTGGTCAGTGTGGCCGGCAGCCTCAGACGGGGCAAGACCCCTTCCCTCCCAGCCTGTCTCCTGTATGCAACCGGGCCGAGCACCCTGAGGTCCATCGGCACCTGGTCCGTGAGCCCTGGTCCTGCCTTCCCCCCACGCACACCCTGGGTGACCTTGGACAAGCTGTGGAATCTCTCAGAGACAGCTGATACCCCCATGAGGTGGCTAGGTCTTCTCAGGAAAGGAGGGTTTGTCCCCACGGCCCAGCAGCCAGGGAGACCGCTCTGGCGCTGGCGGGAAGGCCAGGGTGCTCTGGGAAGATGGAAGCTGCAGATCCTCTGGTTGGGAGGGCACGTTCCTTGTCTGCTCCCCCAGGGCCCCTCAGTCCTCTGCATGTTGAGGGGGCTGCTGCGGGCACACAGGAAGTGCTCAGAAAACACCCACCAGCTCTGAGCAGCTGCTCACTGCACCCGACTGGCCCATCTCACGTGTCCTCCCAGGTCTCACTGCCCCAAGAGACCCCTCCACCCACGCGGGCAGCCCGGGACCTTGCTGGTGCAAGGGGTCCCAAGCAGTACCTCTCCCCGCCCCTGCCCAGACTCCCTGCACATGCACACCTGCCCCTGGGCGTCCCCAGCCCGCCAGGTTGGGAGAAGAGTTGTATGTCTGGCACCCAGCTTGGGTCTGACCCCTGCAGGGTCCCAGCAAGCACTTCTGGAATAAACAAGGCCTTTTCCCCTGGGGCTGGGTGCCGCACCTTTGTGCCTGATGTTGGCCTGCCCCCAGTGAACAACTGACAATCGATGGGCCCCTTGCAAGTCTCGTCACATTGGCTCTGGACCCCTCCACCACCACCTCCGGACTGTCCCAAGTTTGGCCCCCACGGGACCCTGGGCAGAACAGGCCTGCTGAGCCCTTCCACAGTGCCAGACAGCCCCCCAGCAAGAGCGCCCCTCACCCTGCAGGGGAGCAGAAACTCCAGGCCCCCACCAGGAGACAGGTTCAAAGCCAGGGGTCTCCCACTGCCCCCACTTCAGGAGCTCCGCCGGGGCAGGTCCCCCCAGGCATGGATGCCCCAGACCCTGTTAGCCTGCCGAGGGCTCCCCGCTGCCCAGGGAAGCTGGCAGAGTCAGCGTCTGAGGGTTATCAAGGCCCCTTCGGCTGGCGTCACCTCCCCCTCCACCAGTCACAGGGCATCCTTCAGCAGGAGCCGTAAGCCACGTGGAGCAGTGCTCGTGGGCACACACACTCCCGTGGACAAGCACACACAGGTTCACAAGCGCCCTCACACACACGTGCACAGCTTTGGTCTACCAGCCACAGTGGCGACTTAGCGCATCTCCACCCCCAGGCCCCGAAGACCACACCCTGCAGCCTCCTTTGCTGGACCCCTGGCCCCTCCTGACATGTCTGCAACCGGCCCTGTCCACCCATCCGTCCATCTGTCCACCCCCAGCCACTCGCCTGTGTTCCATGGGGCACTCCTTCCTCCCGGACCTCCCCCATGGCCTGCAGGGACAGCCCCGCAGGGCGCAGCCAGACCCTCCTAGAATCGACTGAACGGGCGCCTCAAGCCCCGTTTCTAGGTTGCCCACCGTAGGAGCGCTAGCTGGGGGCGGACGGAGCCCGCAGACGGCCCCAGGCGACACTTACGATGACCACTCTGCAGACGTGGCCGCGGCAGAGCTCCGCGTAGGACGAGTAGTGCACGTAGGCCAGCCAGCTGCCCGCGAGGACGCCCAGCCACACCAGGAAGACATACTTGACCCTCAGGCCTGGGAGCCGGCCCTGCGGGGGAGGGGCCGTGAAGAAGCACAGCGTTCCAGGCGCGCTGACCCCGCCTCCTAGACCCCAGCCCCCCCAGCCCCGCCTCCTAGACCCAAGCCCCCCCAGCCCCGCCTCCTAGACCCAAGCCCCCCCCAAGCCCCGCCCCAGTCAGTGTCTCCTTCCCCCATTCCGCGCACCCACTCCCGGTGCAAGGCAGGGAGGGGCCTGGTGTCTCCCAGACCTTGAAATCTCACAGGCAGGGAAAAGTTAATTCCAAATGAGGAGGATTTAGGGTAGACAGCTCTTTATTTTGCTGAATAAAGAGATTTGGAACGATGTTTTCCTCCTGTCCTGCCCTCATTTCATCATGACATGTAACCTCTGTACAAAGTCAGGCTGGAGCTGCGCTCCCCCACCCCGGACCCCTCACCCTGGCCCAGCACCCTGCACATGGTTCCTCCCACTGGGGGAGACTTCAGGCTGGACCGGGGCCGGCAGGGAGCGCCGGGTTCGGAGGCGTGGTCACCTGGGAGCTTTTAAGGGACACAGCTTCGCACACCCCCCCCCCCCCCCCATCACAGCAGCCAAAGGGTAGACACATCCCGTGGATCCACTGAGAAAGAAGTGGGCAAGCCAAATACGGCCCATTTACACGAGAGAACGGTATCCAGTCATGAAAAGGCAAAGAACTCTGACCCAGGCATGGATGACCCAGCAGGACATCATGTCCAGGGAAATGAGCCAGACACAAGACAGAGCCTGTGTGACCCCACCCATGCCACAACCTAAAGGACTCAGATCCACAGAGACGGGAAGGGTGGCGACAAGGGGGAGTGGGGGAGGAGGGGGCCCTGCCCAGGACGGCCAGTGAGTGTGTGACGGGGACAGAGCTTGAGGGCCTGAGTTTGGGAAAATGAAACGAGTTCTAGAGATGGATGGTGATGGTGGCTCAACAACGGGGATGTGCTTAATGCCCTTGAACGGTGCACTTAAAAAATGGTTAAGATGCTAAATTCATGCCATGTACAATTTACCATAATAAAGAACAGGTAACTAAGACACTCAGCCCCTGGCCCCGCTGCCAGAGGCTCAGTCCCAGGAGCTGCTTCTCTCGAGGGCTCAGTCCCTCGGCCAGGTCTCCCCGGCTGACGAGTGGAATCACAGGGTGGGGGGGACCCACAGCCCTACAGGAACTGGGGGGCACTGTCTCCCATCCAGCCCCCAAGCCAGGACTGCAGGAGCATCAGCTTCCTTCCCCAACCCCGTCCTGGTAAATCACGGCCTCAGTGGCTGCTGTCCAGGGGTGGTCAACTGATGGGCCAGGGCTACCAGGCGCTGCCCCGTGCAAGAGCTCAGACACCCCAACCGGGTCAGCTGAGCCCCAGAGAAGAGGGCCCGGGAGAGCAGCCAGCAGGCCAGCCTGCCCCGGACGAGGGCCACTGCCAGCACTGGCCACACATCCCACCACCCGAGGGTCAGCGGGCGGCTCCAGTCCTGGTCAGCCTTGGGTTCTCGCCACCTGGAGGCTGGGGCCCAGAAATGGGGCCAGCGGCTTTCCCCTGAGGATGGGGCAGGGCCTCCAAGATTAGCCCAGGCAGCTGCGCTTGTTTTTATGGTTCCTCCAGGAGAGGCAAGGTCCCCCACTCCTGCTCTCTGGCCCACCCCTCGGCCAGCCAGCCCGGGAGGCGATGAGGCAGGAGGACCCCCCGAGAGTTCCAGCACAGGCTCAGAGCCATGGAGGCCCAGGGTGGCCCTGGCCAGGGTGGCAGGGCCGGGTTGCAGGCCCACTGGTCCTACCACCACATCTGTTTCCGCCAGTTTTGTTCAAAGGGAAAAACAGGAAAGCAGACCAGCGGGTGGGGGGCAGGGGAGCCAGGGGCGTTGCTGGGGACAGGACAAGGTCAGAAGACTTCCAATGGCGGGTGACCTCGAGGCAGGCAGGGCCTCTGGGAGCCGGCGCCAGGGGTCCTGGGGGGACAGGTGGGAGAAGGGCGGGCTGTTGCCTGCACTGGCCTCAGGTGCTGACCTGGGCCAGACCCAGGTTCCCGGCCTGACCGCAGGGCCCACCTCGGACACGGCCCATCCTCCTGCCAGAGCCCCTCCAGTTCCGGCCTTCCTCCAGCGGCCCTGCTCCACGGACACTGACCCCGGTGCCGAGCTCTGAGCGACCCCCAGGCCCTGATCGCAGGCGGGCACTTCCTCCGGGGGGAGTCCTCAGTGTTCCCCGGGCCGGCGGCTCCCCCCACCCCCCGGCCTGCCCGGCTCCTACTGGGGCACTTGGGGGGTCACTCGGGGGACACAGCAGCATGATGACCGGCAGCCTTGGGGCCAGCAGCCCACGTGCACCATGGCCTCCACCCCTCACCACCAACGCAGGAGTGTGTTTCACACACGGGAAACTGAGGTTCAGGGTGTGTCCTCACATTAAGTGGGGGCATCTCAGAATCAACCCAAGCCATTGGGAACCCATCACCTCTCCTGTCCAGGCTCATCTGTTATTCCCGGGCTGAGCTCAGAGGCCTGACACCCCCAGTCCCAGACCCACCACACTGGCCTCCTCTGTCAAGGCCTTTCCCTCAGGATGGGGCCGCTGCACCCCCACCTCCCAGCCTGGGGGAGGACGCAGACCCTCAGCTCCCACCCGAACCGGAGCTGGGTAGGGACCACTACACCCCCAAGACCTCTGGATGGCAGGAGGGCTTCTGGCGCAGACAAGCCCCTGCGTGCATTACCTGGCTCCCACCCTTCTGGGCGGGTCTGATCAGGGCTGTCTCCTTTTGCCCAGGGGCTGGGGTCGTGAAGGTGGCAGGTTTGGCCTGCATGATTTGAGGCTTGCATTCAGCCCAGCTCAGACTACCCCAAGTAGCCATGACAGGGATCGCGGCAGCCGGCCCCCAAAGCAGCCTGGGGCTCCCCTGCAGAAGGCAGGGTCCCGAGAGGGACGGGGATCTGTCCAAGGTCACCGTGGGGTCAGGGCACACTCCTCGTCTCCGGCTGGCTGGGGGATGGCCCAGGGGGAGGGTATGCCCTTCTTAGGGTGCTTCTACGGGTCCCAAGTTTTCCATCACAGAAAGACAAACCTGGTCTCCTAAGTAGAGGAAAGCGGGACGGACCTGGTGTGGCTTTGGGGCCTGCGGGAGCAGCTCCGGCCCGCGGCGGGGCGGGGGCCTTCTGCAGCCCCAGAGGCACTGGGGCCAACCCCGCAGCATCCGCTCACCCGATCGGCAACCCCTACCCCGGGCCCCGGGCCCTGCCGGCCCCCGGCTCCCCAGGGACCACGCACCCCGGCCCTCAGCGACCTTGAGTCCGGAATCTGCCCGGGATCCCCGGGCTGGATGCCGCGCGCCCCCGCCGCGGCCCGGGCCCCAGGGCGGGAGGTAGGGGCGGGAGCCGGCCGGGCCGAGGACGCGCCTACCTGCAGGCCCTTGGAGAAGGGGCAGAAGAGCACCAGGTGCGCCAGGCGCCGCAGCCGCCGCATGGTGGGCGCGGGCCGTGCGCGGGCCCGGCTCGCCTCCGCTCGGCCTCAGCCCCGCGGGCCGGCCCGCCCGCATCAGCCGCCGCGCCTCCTCCCCGCCCCGCGTCCACGCCGGAGCGCTCGCCTCTGACGGCCCGGCGGGTGCGCGGGGAGGGGGCGCGGCGGGGGCGCGCGCCGGGGGAGGCGGGGAGCCAAAGGCGCGCGAGGGTGCGTGGCCGCGAGGCGGGCGGCGCGGGGGCGCGCGGCGGGGAGGGAGGGCCGGGGGCGCGGAGGGCCGCCTCGCGGGGCGGGGGAGGCGCGCGCGGCCCCGCCTCCGCCCCACCGCCTCGCCGCGCCCCGCCCCTGAGGGAAGGGGGAGGGCGTCGAGGCCCCGCCCTCCCGCGCCCCCGGCCCGCCCCCGGCGGCGCAGACAAGCCCCCTGCGTGCAAGTCCCCGCCGCCCGCGCGGCCGCCAAGGGAGGCGACTGCACGGCCAGGGCCGTCGCGCGCCCCTCGGCGGAGGAGGAAGCGGGTGATGGAGCCGGGCAGTCTGCGGAGGTCCCCCGGGGCAGGGTCGTACGCGCGGGGCGCGGGAGGCGCGGGTGCCCTCCAGGAGGCATGGCGAGGGCCCTGGTGGGTTCCTGCACGGACCACAGGGCCTGGAGGGGCCGTGGACACTGCGGCAGCTTTGGCCTCTTTCTCCCGCTTTTTAAAGAGAGTAAGACCCACTCTTGCACCGTGCGGCGCTGCCGGCGTCTGCACAGACAGCCCCGTGGGCACCACCGCTTGCAGACTGCAGAGTGGTTCGGGCCTTGCTTTCTTCCAGGCTCCTCCGCCCCGGGCCCGGGCCCGGCGAGACCCGGCTCGTCCCCTGCGGCCGCAGCCTCCAGTCTGGCCTCTTCACTGGGCAGAGGCCCTGGACGTTCAGCACCCCTCTGCCAGCGCCGGCACCAGGCACCAACTCGATCAGCCAGTCAGTCACCTCCTGAAGGCCCTCCGAGTTGGTCCTGGCTGGGGACGTCAGGCGCAGAGCCGCCGTCAGGTCAGAACTCGAGGTTCTGTGCTAAGGACGTTCCTTTTCACTGAGGTGATAGAGGCTGGGGATGCCGTGGTCGGCGGCGTGGTCGGTGTAGGCGACCCTTACATTCCCGGCGCGTGGGAGGTACGGTCGCTCCACTTTCCCTTGGGCACTTGGTATCGACCCTTTTTAAATTCTAGCCATTCTGTGGGGAGCCGGTTTCTTTGTGGTTTCTTTGTGGTTATTTGCATTTCCCCAAAGGCTATTGATGTTGGCTATTTCTTACATACTTAGTTGCAACCTGTATATATTCTTTGGCAAAGCATCTATGCAAACTTTTTGCCCAAATTGTGTGTGTGTGTGTGGTATTGTTTGTTTCTTTGTTGAGTTTTGAGAATTCTTTTATATCTTCTGGAAACCAGCTCCTTATCAAATATGTGATTCCCAAAGATTTTCTCCCAGTCTCTGGCTTGTCTTTTCATCTTAACGGTGCTTTTCAAAGACTACACGTTCTTAATTTTTTTTTTTAAATTTCTTTTATTTACTTATTTAGTTTTAATTTTTCGGTTGCACTAGGTCTTCGCTGCTGCGTGCGGGCTTTCTCTAGTTGCAGCGAGTGGGAGCGACTCCTCATTGCTGGGCACAGGCTTCTCTTGTTGCAGAGCATGGGGTCTAGGTGCGTGGGCTTCAGTAGTTGTGGCTCGAGGGTTCGAGCACAGGCTCAGAAGTTGTGGCTCACAGTCTGAGTTGCATGTGGAATCTTCCCAGACCAGGGATCAAACCGGTGTTCCCTGCATTGACAGGCATACTCCCATCCACTGAGCCACCAGGAAAGTCCTACACGTTCTTAATTTTGATGAGGCCCAGTTTGTCCATTTTTTCCTCTTGTTCGTCTGCACCTGTCAAATCTAAGAAATCTTTGCCTAACTCAACCCAGGGTCACACAGATTTTCTTCTGCGTTTTCTTCTAAAAGTTTTATAGTATGAGATTTCACATTTGGGTCGGCGATTCAGTTGAGCTCATTTTGGTACAATCTGCCTACCAAAGTAGGAGATGCAAGAGAAGTGGGTTTGATCCCTGGGTCAGGAAGATTCCCTGGAGGAGAGCACGGCAACCCACTCTAGTATTCCTGCCTGGAGGATTCCATGGACAGAGGAGCCTGGTGGGCTGCAGTCCATAAGGTCGCACAGAGCTGGGCACTACTGAAACGACTTAGTACATGGATCAAGGCAGTGTTCTGGCTTGGGGTTTGGGGGTTTCTGCACATGGATATCCAATTGCTCCAGCACTTTTGTTGAAAAGATGAGCCCTGGGACGGTTTTGTAGCAGACTGTCTCTGCGGAGACACTGCCCTGCAAGCAGCCTTCCCAGCTCCGGGACGGTGGTTTCCAGCAACCTCCAGACGGCAGATTTCCTGCAAGTCTGCCAGGACCACAGTGACTTCCTGCTGTCCCGTGAGTCACAGCTGGGCTCTCCCAGCAAGATCTCAGCCTGGGAGTGGGGGCTCCAGCTCAGCCCAGCGTGGCGCTTTGCTCTCTTTCTTTTCAGGCTGAGCTGCGTGGCTTATAGGATCTTAGTTCCCCAACCAGGACTCAAATCTGGGCCTTTGGCAGTAAAAGCATGGCGTGCTAACCACTGGACCACCAGGGAATTCCCTACAGGTCACTTCTGTGTGTCCTTCACTTCCATCCGCCTTTGCAGTTAGTAATTCTTGAAGCAGAACTTTCCCAGTTCAGATTGCCATGTGGCTTTTGTCTGCTAATAGGGACCCAATTGACACAGGTCTGGTGCAAAAGTTGTTGTTCATTGTTCAGTTGCTAAGTCATGTCCCACTCTGCGACCCCATGGTCTGTAGCTCGCCAGGCTCCTCTGTCCTCCACTGTCTTCCTGGAGTTTGCTCAAATTTACATCCATCGAGTCGGTGAGTCTATCCAACCATCTCATCCTTTGCTGTCTTTCTCCTCCTGCCCTCAATCTTTCTCAGCATCAGGGTCTTTTCCAGTGAGTCACTTCTTTGCTTCAGGTGGCCAAAGTATTGGAGCTTCAGCTTCAGCATCAGTCCTTCCAATGAATATTCAGGCTTGATTTCCTTTAGTGTTGACTGGTTTGATCTCCTTTCCATCCAAGGGGCCCTCAAGAGTGCAAAAGAGACACGGGCATTTTTATTTATTCTTTTGGCCGCCTCATGCAGCTTGCAGGATCTCAGTTGCCCAACCCAGGGATTGAACCCACGCCTTCGGCAGTGAAAGTGCTGAGTCCTAACCACTGGACCACCGGGGAATTCCCAACACGGGCACTTCTACAAAACTTATGGAGACTCACTCTGCCCCACAATTTGGACCATGTGGCCTACCCTCAGATACCCGATATCTTCAACCAAATGGTAGTGACACTTGAATTGAAGACTGGGATGGGCTGCTAGGAGCATCCAGAGGGCTGGAACAGAATTAAGTTTTCATCACCTTGATCCCCTTGTGGACCATCCAGGCTGGCCAAAGGGTCCTCCTAGAAGAAGGGAGAGGCCTCTGCTCAGGAGGGCCTGTTTAGGGTTAGGATCCGGGTCAGATCCTGGTTATCCCCAAAGAAGCTATAGAGTCCCACCCGCCTTTCCTTCTGGTCGTTGCCGTGGTGACCAATGACAGGTGTCCCCCTTTGGGGACAGTCCTAGTTGGCGCTGAGCTGCCTGACCAAGGTGTGGGGCCAGGAAGGGCCAGGAGGTGGAGTCAGAAGTCTGCTAAGTGAGCTTTTGAGAAGGCCATTCCAGTGCTTTGTGATGCCAGGGGCTGTGGGCGCCGGGAAGCGGGGAAGGGCCTCTGGCTCCTTGGCCACCAGCCCTCTCTGGGGCAGCCTTTGTGGTGAAGAAGCACCATGATGTGCTTGTCCAACTCTGACCCCGTGGACTGTAGCCCGCCAGGCTCCTCTGTCCCTGGGGATCCTCTGGGCAAGAGCACTGGAGTGCGTCGCCATGCCCTCCTCCAGGGGATCCTCCCAACCCAGGGACTGGACTCAGGCCTCCTGCACTGCAGGCGAGCTCTTTACCGCTGAGCCGCCAGGGGAGCCCCAGAAGTACCACATCAGGCCACAGATGGAAGGGTGGCCACAGCACTGCTCAGAGCCAGGAGCCAGCGTGGCAGCTCCTCCGAGAGTCCTCACGTGGCCTTCAGAGGCCCTAGTTCCAAAGAGGCCACATTCTGAAGTTCTGGATGGCCATGAATCTGGGGGGTACACCATCCACCCCAATACACAGAAACAGCGACATTATTGTAAACAGCCAGAGGCAGTGACAATGCAACACATTTTATCAAGGGACCCCCAAATAGAAATGGCTTAATCAAGAGAGATGTGTATTTCTCTTTCATGTAGCACTCAGCCAAGCTTCCAAAGGCTGGTACGGAGACCCCACCTTCTCGGGGATTTGCTCAAGACCTGGTTTCTGTCTTGCAGCCCAGAATGGCTGGTCCAGCTCCAAGCATCACCTCCACACTCCAGCAAGGAGGAAGAGCAAAAGGGACATGAAGACACATGTACACATGTGTCAGTGTGTATGACTCTTTGCAACCTCATGGACTGTAGCCCGCCAGGCTCCTCTGTCCATGGCATTCTCCAGGCCAGAATACTGGAGTGGGTTGCCATGCCCTTCTCCAGGGGATCTTCCCAACTCAGGGATCAAACCCAGGTCTCCCACATTGCAGGTGGATCCTTTACCATCTAAGCCACCAGGGAAGCCCATGAAGAGCATAGCCTTACCTTTAAAGATGGGATCTAGAAAAGCATACCTCTTCTGCTCATAGCGGGCTTCTCTGGTAGCTCAGCTGGTAAAGAATCTGCCCGCAATGCAAGAGACCCCGGTTCAGTTCCTGGATCAGGAAGATCCCCTGGAGAAGGGACAGGCTGCCCACCCCATAATTCTTGGGCTTTCCTGGTGGCTCAGCTGGTAAAGAATCCACCTGCAATGCAGGAGGCCTGGGTTCGATCCCTGGGTTGGGAAGATCCCCTGGAGAAGGGAAAGGCTACCCACTCCAGTATTCTGGCCTGGAGAATTCCATGGACTGTATAGTCCACGGGGTCACAAAGAGTCAGAGGCGACTCAGCGACTCTCACGTTCACTTTCTGCTCACATCCCATTGGCCAAAGGTTAGTCACATGACCTTTCTTGCTGCAAAGAATGTTGGGAAACATAGTTTTTCATGGTCAGTCAGTTAGTTCAGTTCAGTCGCTTAGTCGTGTCGGACTCTTTGCGACCCCAAGAACCGCAGCATGCCAGGCCCTCCTGTCCATCACCAACTCCTGGAGTTTACTCAAACTCATGCCCATTGAGTCGGTGATGCCAGCCATCTCATCCTCTGTTGTCCCCTTCTCCTCCTGCCCCCAATCCCTCCCAGCATCAGGGTCTTTTCCAATGAGTCAGCTCTTCCCATGAGGTGGCCAAAGTAGTGGAGTTTCAGCTTCAGCATCAGTCCTTCCAATGAACACCCAGGACTGATCTCCTTTAGGATGGACTGGTTGGATCTCCTTGCAGTCCAAGGGACTCTCAAGAGTCTTCTCCAACACCACAGTTCAAAAGCATCAATTCTTCAGTCCTCAGCTTTCTTCACAGTCCAACTCTCACATCCATACATGACTACTGGGAAAACCATAGCCTTGACCAGACAGACCTTTGTTGGCAAAGTAATGTCTCTGCTTTTTAATATGCTGTCTAGGTTGGTCATAACTTTCCTTCCAAGGAGTAAGCATCTTTTAATTTCATGGCTGCAATCACCATCTGCAGTGATTTTGGAGCCCCCAAAAATGAAGTCTGACACTGTTTCCATTGTCTCCCCATCTATTTCCCATGAGGTGATGGGACCAGATGCCATGATCTTAGTTTTCTGAATGTTAAGCTTTAAGCCAACTTTCTCACTCTCCTCTTTCACTTTTATCAAGAGGCTCTTTAGTTCTTCTTCACTTTCTGCCATAAGGGTGGTGTCATCTGCATATCTGAGGTTATTGGTATTTCTCCTGGCAATTGATTCCAGTTAGTGCTTCTTCTAGCCCAGCATTTCTCATGATGTACTCTGCATATAAGTTAAATAAGCAGGTGACAATATACAGCCTTGATGTACTCCTTTTCCTATTTGGAACCAGTCTGTTGTTCCATGTCCAGTTCTAACTGTTGCTTCCTGACCTGCATATAGGTTTCTCAAGAGGCAGGTCAGGTGGTCTGGTATTCCCATCTCTTTCAGAATTCTCCACAGTTTATTGTGATCCACACAGTTGAAGGCTTTGGCGTAGTCAATAAAGCAGAAATAGATGTTTTTCTGGAACTCTCTTGCTTTTTCATGATCCAGCGAATATTGGCAATTTGATCTCTGGTTCCTCGGCCTTTTCTAAAACCAGCTTGAACATCTGGAATTTCATGGTTCACGTATTGCTGAAGCCTGGCTTGGAGAATTTTGAGCATTACTTCCTTTTCGCCTTTGCTTTTTGCTTCTCTTCTTTTCACAGCTATTTGTAATGCCTCCTCAGACAACCATTTTGCCTTTTTGCATTTCTTTTCCTTAGGGATGGTCTTGATCCCTGTCTCCTGTACAATGTCACGAACCTCCGTCAGTTTTTCATGGTAGCCACCGCATATTCCACTAACCTTTGTGTTTTTTGTTTTTCTGGAACCCCTCACTCTTGGGCACAAGTATGTCATGGGGAAAACAGAGAAATGGAGGCTTGGGTCCTTCCAGACATAGATCATCCCACCACCCCAGGTCCTGATGACCTAGGACTGAGGCCAGGGGTCACTCATTTCTCTCCAGGTGGGTATTCTGAGAGGTGTGGATGCCTTCAGGCCCAGGCCAGGCCTGGGGAAGGTGATGGCTGCCCCAGTGGATGGGGGAGAGATGGGGGAGGGAGAGGATGGCTCCAGGCAGAGGGACGGAACCCGCAGAGGCCCAGAGGCAGCGGGCTGTGGGTGGACGTGGAGCCTGCTTTTGCATGGTGACTGTTGCCGCATTCAGGTGACGCTGCAGCGGGGCTGTGAGCCACTTGTCCCCTCTCTGCACTTACTCTTCGCCATCCTGATGGGTCGGGTGTTGTGGGGTCCGTCCTGGGGGCCTCAGTTCAGTGCGTGTGGTTCTCTTCTCTAGCTCACTGCATCTCCATCATGTGCTGGTCATCTGATCTTGATTTCACGTTTGCTTGACCTTAACGCTGGGCTGGATGAAGCACAAGCTGGAATCAAGATTGCCGGGAGAAATGTCAGTAACCTCAGATATGCAGATGATATCACCCTTATGGAAGAAGTGAAGAAGAACTAAAGAGCCTCTTGATTAAAGTGAAAGAGGAGAGTGAAAAAGTTGGCTTAAAGCTCAACATTCAGAAAACTAAGATCATGGCATTTGGTCCCATCACTTCATGGCAAATAGATGGGGAAATAGTGGAAACAGTGACAGACTTTATTTTGGGGGGCTCCAAAATCATTGCAGATGGTGACTGTAGCCATGAAATTAAAAGACGCTTACTACTTGGAAGAAAAGTTATGACCAACCTAGACAGCATATTAAAAAGCAGAGACATTACTTTGCCAACAAAGGTCCATCTAGTCAAAGCTATGGTTTTTCCAGTAGTCATGTATGGATGTGAGAGTTGGACTAGAAAGAAAGCTGAGCGCCAAAAAATTGATGCTTTTGAAGTGTGGTGTTGGAGAAGACTCTTGAGAGTCCGTTGGACTGCAAGGAGATCCAACCAATCTATCTTAAAGGAAATCAGTCCTGAATACTCATTGGAAGGACTGATGCTGAAGCTGAAACTCCAATAATTTGGCCACCTGATGCGAAGAACTGACTCATTTGAAAAGACCCCGATGCTGGGAAAGATTGATAGAGGAAAGAGAAGGGGACGACAGAGGATGAGATGAGTAGGTGGCATCACCAACTCAATGGACATGAGTTTGAGTAAACTCCGGGAGTTGGTGATGGACAGGGAGGCCTGGCGTGCTGTGGTCCATGGGGTTGCAAAGAGTCAGACAGGACTGAGTGACTGAGCTGAACTGAACCTATGGGAATCCTGTGGGTCTCACTCTAGGCTGCTGGGAGGGACTGTGCCTTGCAGACAGGGCCCCACAGAGCTGGAGGTGCAGGGCTCAGGGCGTCTGCTCTCGGGGCCGGAGCTGTCACCCCTGCTCACACTGCTCACCCTCTCTGCAGCAGTTGGAGGTCTTGGAGACTTCTGCTTCTTGAGTCCCAGGACCCAATTTTTTTTGTCTTGTTAGGGGAAGGGTCCCTTGGGTGTCTAGTGCACTGCCTGCACTAGCCGAATAGTGGCCCCAAAAGAGATGTGTTCACATCCTCACCCCTGGACCCTGTGAATGGGACCTTATTCAGAAGAACAATCCTTGCAATGTAATTAAGATCTTGGGAAGAGGAGACCAGCCTGGGTTTTCTTGGGGTGGAGGGGGGACAAATCCAGATAGTGTCCTCATGGGAGACTTACAGAGAGGACAGATGGAAACGGGGGAGGCGATGGGGCAGAGATGGGGCCATGCTGTCTACGCCAAGGGAACTGGGGGCGGGGACGACCCTACCCCGGAGCCTGTGGGGAGTGACCCTCCACACCAGGATTTTGGACTTCTGGACTGCAGAACATGAAGACTAAGTTTCTGTCATTTTTAAGTCACCATTTGTGGTTATTTGTTACAGGGGGTGCTTTCAAGAATGAGAAAGTTCTGTACCTGGAATGTGGCTTGCAGCAGGGGCCTTGGAGAGGTGCAGTTGGTGGGGAGGGGGTACCTTGGGGGGCACTGGCTGGGGTGGTTCCAGGCATCTTCTGGCTCCTACCCTATAGTTTGGAGGGATCTTATTTTCCAGATGCTGGGAGAGGCTTTTTTTTTTTTTAATGTTCATTGGCCATTTCTCCTTTGTGGTTTATTAATTGCATATCATATTCTTTTTAAAGTATTTATTTTTATTTATGTTTGGCTGCACCAGGACTTGGATGTG